CAAGAAACAGATTTGGGTTGCCGGATAATATTAATAATAATATTATTTTTTTGTCTCTTAGAAATGCACATTTGATAGTAGCTTGAGTTAGGATGCAGAGGTAAATTTTTGTTTATTATTAAAATCAGTAACATCTGTAAAAATTGTAGCAACCTCAGTATTATATGGTTAAATTTATTCTGATTTATTCTTTTTTTTTTACATTTTATTAAGCATTGGTCTCCCATAGTAGCATAAATTTAAATCATGATAAACACAGTAAAAACCACACATATAGCACTTCAGTACCATAAATATAACTATATGGTATTTAGGTAGCCTATTTGTATGAAAAACAGTAGTCTAAAAACATTCAGTATAAATGCACACATGCTATAGCTTAATCACAAATACATACTACAATTACCATTACTCCTGTATAAAAATTCAGTGTGAATATCCCACATTTCTGCCACAATACCTTGGTGCAGTGAGTGTTACTACAGTAAATCCATGGTAAATGATGGCGATGTGTAGATTGAAAAGCCTTCTGACTGTCTCGTTGCACACAGTGTTTCTCCTGTTTGGCTTTAAACTAGTTTAAATCACAGAGTCATTTGTGTTCATCGCTGAATTCAAGCACTGGCTCTCACAGCGCTGTTTAGTGCTCGCGTGAGTAAATACATCTGCTCTAGTGAGCTCGCGCCGCGCAGCAGTTTGAACTTTGATCCGAGCGGATAAATGGTCCACGTGGCGCGCTTCAAATGAGTCGTGCTGTTTCGTTCCGCTTTTGGCGCATAAACATTATATCGATCATTTATCGAACTCTTCATACCGGTTTATCGCGATAATTATCGTTATCGAATTATTGCCCAGCCCTATGTAAGAGTCATTGTTACTGGTAAGAATTATTGTTTAATGTATACCGTGATAACCGTGAATCCGTGATATTTTCTGAGACTATTACCATACCGTGAAAATCTCATACCGTTACAACCCTATTTCCAACCCATAATTTTCCCCCCAAATTCCATAGCTTTCTTTCTTTCATGAAACACACTAAAAATATTTTGAACAACATTTAACTGCTCATTTCAATACAACAAATGCATATGGTAATCAGGGCCTGTCAAGCTCTAAAAAATTAAAAATAAATGCCACAAAAGAGGTCTTAAAAGGGCTGGGCGATAAAACTGTACTGCAAACTGTGCTGAAGATATTTATTTTCTTAAGGAAAAATGACTGGGAAAGTGTAACGAATTCAAAAACGTGAAGTGTTTGTCATGTACTGATAATAAAGAGTAGTTTAAAACCACAATTAACAGTCTGCTTTCTACAACTTTCACTTAAGAGCAAATATCTGCCTTTATACTTGAAAGAAATAAAGATTTGAAATTTATCATGATAATTATCGATATCGACTGATATGAAAAATTGTATTGTTATAATTATCGCCATATCGCCCAGCCCTACGCAGAATTTTGAATGAGATATGAGAATTATGGCAGAACAGACTTAAATTTTTGTCTGTTCCTCACACGAAACCATCATATGGCTTGAGAATGGGAAATACTGTAAGTCACATGGACTACATATATTTTGCCATTTTGTCTTTATTGGAGCTTGACAGTCCCTTTTCACTGAAAGTTTTTGTTGTATAGAAAAAAGCAGTGTGAACACTTTTCAAAATTTTCTCCTTTTGTGTTTCCCAGAAGAAAGAAACTGGGATTGGAACAACATGATGGTGAACAATTCCTTTAACTCCATTTCATATATTCTAAAAAGGCACCAAAACCATGTAAGTTGGCAATCTCACCCTGACAGCAGTGTGAAGTGTGAAGTCTGAATGACTAAGACCACCCCATTTTAAAGGCAGATGCAAGAACTGAATCGTGGAACCAGACCAAACCTGGTCTTCCCCAAGGAAATAGCACTACGGTTTGAAATGTTTGGGTTTGACAAAGCCTACAAAGAAATTTCTCGAAGAATGCCAACCAGTCAGTATGAAAGCCCTAGCACATGTCATTCATTCTATTTGGACTGACTCAAAACACTCTTTTTCAGCTTGATAAGATGTACTCCCGGGAGCGACGGGCTGTTTAAAGAGCGGAATGGATGAAAGACTGAGTAGGGTATGCAACTTAAAAACTCAGAGTGAGTTTTTAAGGCTTTAAATCAAAGGCCTGTGTAGTGATAACCTTCAAATGCACCTTGCGGCTCTTGTGAAACACTCATGTAAAGTGGCATGATGGAGCATTCCCACAGTGCAGCACAATAACTAATGAAATAAAATGAAACTGCAGAGAACGGGGAGCCATGCTTCATCATAAACAAATCAAAAACTCTACTAAGACAGAGAGAAATTTTAACAGCTGCATGGATGATATACAACCACAGACCCATTAAATTCTAGACTGAGGATGTTCTGCGTTTGATGAATCTTTAATGGAGGTTGTAAAGCTTTATTTACAGAATGTCCCATAGGGCACATGCAAGCTCACAGATGCATCGTGTGGAGAACAGAGTTTGTCTACTGTATGTTGCACGCAAGGCTTTCGAAACTAGTCCTTCAGCTGTACAGTAACAGCAGAATTCTCAAAGTTATGATGCAGTAGTATAATGAACCCTGTTTAAAAACAATTGTTACACTATCAAATAATCAGTTGTCGATTCTTAAGGACTACTGATGATTCTTAATATTAATTTTGATATCAGAGCAAAAATTAATACAGTACTGAACAGACTACCAGTTAAAAATTAATATGAATATAAAATAAAAATTAAACCAATAACATGTAGTCTTGAAATATTTCTCTGCTTGCTTCAAACATTCAATAATATAAATAATAAAGCTCATTTATATGCCAGAGTGCTGTTATAGCCTATGTTTCAGATTTCCCTCAAAGCTCAAGTAGCCCAAAAACCTAAAGAACAGAAACACATTTACATTATCATTTCTCATCTGCTTCCAACCCTTCCACTACTTTGAATGCATCTGTAATAAAAACTGCTTTAAATTGTATACGCGTTTGTAGCCGGTCAGTTCTGACTGGCTCCAGGTCAGTAAAGCATCTAACCAGAGCTAACCAATGGCATTAGAACAAGAAGGAGGAAAGGACTATGCAACCATCAGCACATCTCATTTACCTCCTTTAAATATTGAAGAAGGTCATATATGAATCTGCCAGCATCTCTTTGAGAAGCAAACCTTGTTTCTGAAGGTTGTTTACAGAATCAGGTCAGCATCTATATGGAGATTCAACACATGGATCTTTGTAACAGCCCTTGCTTCCTATACAGTTGAAGATGTAAATGTAGTGAAAAAGTGAAAATGTAGGTTATGGTTGATGGGCATTATAGAAAACAAATTTTGATATATCTGCCAGGACTCTTGGCATTATAAAATTAAGCAACTTCATTGAATAGTGATCTTCAGTCACTTTTTATTTGGCTTTGCAGTCAGCTACTTTCACATCCTTTCCTTCACAACTCACAAGTGTGACAGCACTGAGACAGAGATGTTTTAAAGGGATACTGTAGTTCACCCAAAAATGAAAATTACCCCATGATTTACTCACCCTCAAGCCATCCTAGGTGTATATGACATTCTTCTTTCAGACGAATACAATCGGAGTTATATTAAATAATGTCCAGGTTAATCCATGCTTTATAATGGGAGTGGATGATAGCCCAAAATTTGAAGCCCAAAAAATTTGCACCCATCCATTATAAAAGAAGTCCACACGGCTCCGGGGGGTTAATAAAGGCCCTCTGAAGCGACGCGATGCGTTTGTGTAAGAAAAATATAAATTTTTACAACTTTATAAACCTTCCTAACATCTCTAGCTTCCGCTAACTGTCATGCCACGAGAGAGTGGTGTCCAGCGGATGCATAGTAAATAAATAATCGCAAAACATTTCAGAGAGAATATAATAAAGAATATAATAAACTGTATTTGTATTTAAATAATAATAATAAAAATAGCAAATAGTAAAAAAATAAAATATATTTTTATTTTGAAAAAATATATAAAAATAACAATTATATATTTTATATAATGATTTAATACATTTTAAATTCTATATATTTTTTAAACTACGTAATATAAAAATATATAAAAACATAATTCTGTATGTCACCCTAAAGGGTATAGGGTAAGTATATATAAATGTATATAAAATATTTTTTTTATCCATGAAAAAAAAGTTTAAAAAGTTCCAATTAAAGCACTCTGAGAATAATGAGTTCAAAGTAGCTGTTTATTAATGACAATTGTGGTAGAAACTATATATATTCTTTCTAAAGGGATGATCTGCATTCAACAGTTTACTATTTAATTAAACAGGCAAGATGCTATGAGAGGAAAAGTCAACTTTGAATTAACACTCTAATCATTTATTTTAATTGCCTGAAAAATCTCATGCTGGATTCCTCTCAATCCAAGGCAATTTGCAACACGGGCCCTCAGCAGACTTGGTCCCCTGACAACGCTCATCCTGTATAAAGCATCTCTCTCTCAGCAGTAGGACGGCTGTTTAAGGCAAAATCTGTATAAATCCATCAGTAGCTCAGAGCCGTGTCACAGACTCCAGCACTGTCCCCTGGCTCGTGTGTCTGTATGAACCCAGGGTCTGTGTGCTTGGGGGACCACTGGGCTTGATTTACTCTGACCTTTGGGTACAGACCTGAGAGGGTTCAACACTCGGATGTAGAGCCGTCCATAAATCTGCAGAGGGGGTAATTACGGACCAGGGATTTAGCGCTTCTCATGGACGCTGGCGGCTAATTCTGTCCTCCTCGTGACAGTCATTAGAAAGCACAGAGGATGGGTGTGACAGTGCAAAGCTGCTATTCTGCTTGATCCACAGTTAAAAAAAAATCAAGAATAAGTACCACACTGAAGAAAAGCTATTAACATCTGCTGATGCAATACTTAGCAAGCACCATTATTAATATTACAAACCCTTAACCCTTTAAATATTAAAACTTCAGCACATAACTAATCCCCCATCGTTTGCGATATGGACATTAATGATATCACAAATAAAGTGGCTTTTTGAAGAGAGGTGTGCTGCTATATTTCTGAACAACTGCACTAATGATTTTCACCTACTGGATGAGAAAACAGATGAAAAATATCCCATAGACCTATAATGAAGGAGGAATCTAAGCCATTTGTACTGTAAAAAAAAATATTTAGCAGTTTAGTTGTTTCAATTAATTTTTTTTAAGTTGACACAACTTGCAATTTCTGAATTTGTTCACTAAACTTAACATTTAAAATTTTCACTGTCTCAACTAGTTGACTGTTGAAGTTGACTGAACTAGAGTATTTGCTCCCTCAACTTAAAAAAAATGTGTTGAATCAATTCAACAACACGATCACGTATCAGTTTATTTAAAGTGCCCCTATTATGCCATTTTTAAGATTGCTAATATTGTTTTATGAGTCTCCTAAAACAGGTTTACATGCATGCAAGGTCAAAAAACGTTAGTTTTCTCAAAAAATAGATTTAATTTGACCTAATTTCTAAATGATTCGTAAACGATTCGTGCGAAGCAGTTCAAAGAATCAGTCTCTCTAAACCCCTCCTTTCCGTGAGCCCTCACTGCTGTGATTGGTCAGATGGGCGCAGTCCTTTGTGATTGGTCCAGAGCCGTAGAGAGATTGGCTCTGGATTGGTCTACTGCGTACAGCGCGTGTCGGAAACGAAACATTCATTATCATGACGGAATGACAGCCCTGGAGACTTGTCAATACATAGAAAAGATGGTATCGATTGTACCTTACCAATTCGAGCCGGAGTCTGATGAAGAAACGGTTGAAGTGGCTGATCGACAAGAGACTGATTCGCAAGCACGACTGAAGCAGGACGTTTCTCAGTGGTAAGTGTCAAGTGTTAACACGTTTGTGGTAATTATAAGATTTGAAACAAAATTACAAATTACAAAAAAAAAGAAACAAATTTACTCTCTCAGCGTAGGATACAGCGTCTTCTCGACATGTTAACCACACAGAAATTTTACTGTGTTTGTGGACGGGCAAGTTGGCGACGTAGAACGTGGGCAGACATTATGCAAATGTGTTACTTCGTAACGTAGAGCCGTAACAGAATAAGATTCAATTCCTGACGACTCGTTTAGGCGATTGCCGACTCTTTTTTTTGATAGACAATAATTTTATTTATCGTGCACTGTCGTCTTCACAACTTTGCAGATAGTTTATGTTCACATACAGCTACATGACACACTGCATGAAACATAATATTCAAAAAGGCATAATAGGGGCACTTTAACGCATACTTTTAAGGCAACCATGTAAACTTTTTAGGTAATTGTTATAACAAACTATATGCAGTTGAGTGAACTTAAATTTGAAAGTTTACTTAATCCTCTTTATTGCTTGAATAAGTGGATACAATATTTAACCCAACGTTATGACAACAAAACATTCAGTTAAAAAATTATCTTTAATTCTTAGAACAAAATATTAGTTGAAACAACAAAATCACTATTTTTGTAATAACTGAAATTTTTACAGTAGTTTCAATGAACTCAACATTTTAAGGCAACCAGGTTACTTTAAGTTAAACCAACAAATAATTTTTTGCAGTGTGGTAACTCCACTTTTGAGAGTCATTTTATGAATTTTGAAATACAAAGTTTTCCATAAGTGTATGAAACCAACTTTAATACAAATTTTACATATGCATTTTAAAAGATGTTGCCCCATAGCAACAACCCCATAGCAGCACTGTGGAAAGCACTCACAATACCTTAACATTGTGTCAGTGGGTTTTGCCATTAGAAAATTTAAAAAATCAAGTCAATTTGATGCATCTAGGGATAAACATCAGGACAAAAGAAAAAAATGAAAGGAGCAGGTTGCGTGGAACTTACAACTTTTTGTGTTTTGTGCTGCCTTTTAGGGGGGAAAAAACCCAGCATGCTCTAGCAGCAGCCTACAGTGACAACACAGCTTGCTAACTTCATTTAAATAGCAGGAGACAAAAGCATGACAAGGACAGAGCAATGATAGTGAGAGGAGGAGAGAAGGGAAAATTAGACCCATATTAGTCCTTTCCAATGCAAAACAAAGGTCAGTTATCTGTTTTTTACCTTTATATTTCCCCTTGTGGAACTTGTGGCATGTTGTGCAAGTGTTTTAATGGGAAAAAATCTCTGACTTATTCATAAACATATGCTGCATTTGTTATTCAAGAAAGCCAGTGTCAGCATTGCAGGGCACTCTCAGAGCTGAGGGTAAATGAGAACACAGCCACACCCTCGTGTAATGAGTGTCACACATTCTCAATTTAAAACCAATCTAGTGGAGCAGTCAGGCAGCAGAACACACATGCACACACACACACACAATCTGCAAATGTCAGCCTATGCATCACACATTAACCAGCTGTGAATACCAGCAATGAACAAGACGAATTCAACCCCTCAGAGGACCTCAGATGATGCCAACCCTGAAACAACATACAGAACTACCACATTTTGCTATAAGTTTGATTGCATCATATAATAATTGCTGTTAATAGTGTTCATCGTCTGTTTTATTACGTCTTAAATTGATTTTTCCGTACTGCTGGTTCGTCTGGTCAGAGGAGAACTGGCCCCCCGACTGAGCCTGGTTTCTCCCAAGGTTTTTTCTCCATTCTGTCACTGATGGAGTTTTGGTTCCTTGTCGCTGTCGCCTCTGGCTTGTTGAGTTGGGGACACTTCATTTCCAGCGATACCGTTGACTTGATTGCAAAGATACTATTTAAACTGAGCTGGATGTTGACATCACTGAATTCAATGATGAACTGTCTTTAACTGAAAAATTTTATGTTTACTATTGTCATTTTGCATTATTGACACTATTTTCCTAATTAATGCTGTTCAGTTGCTTTGACACAATCTGTATTGTTAAAAGCGCTATATAAATAAAGGTGACTTGACTTGACTTGAATGGAGTCTGAAGTTGCTGACTTTTAAGGAGAACCCATCTGATCAAGCTTCTTCTACAGAACCTTTACTGAGGCCCTTTTTTTACCTTTAAAATGTTCCAATACATTGAACACAACACTGTTTTGTGTCAAAAAATGTTTTTTAAGCTCTTTTCTAGAATGACAATGCTTTCTATAGTGATGGGCAAAGTCGAAACGTGCACACATATTCATATATACATATGCATAATAAACTGCATTTTAAAATATTAAAACATTTGTTGTAAATCATAGTAAAATACTTGTAATAGTATTTGCAATCAAATAAATGAAGCCTTGGTGAGCATAAGAACAAATATATATATATCCATATCTATATATTTCTTTTTAGTAATATTTATACTTTTATATTTATACTTTTTAGTATTTTTAGTTATCATAGGTGTACTTTCACTGAAAAAAAAAGTTGTCCCAAATGCAAAATATGCACATTGCCAAACTCATACTCAAATTTATGCAAGATGGAGAACAAGTACTCAACATGATGAGCGCAACAAAAGTTGCTGACTACGTAGAGCGTTTCCAAATCAACGACTTCGGAGGTTCAATTTAGAATGCTCCCTTATAAGTCAGCTGCTTATGTAGGTAGTAGACAGCAAGGCAGCTCACTACATTTTGAAACAGAGCTTATGACCTCCTGACATATGTATCTGCTATAAAAGTCAGCCTGCCTTTGAAAGTGGACAAAACCGGGAAACAATAACTGTCAGATCAGATAACCACAGTGAACATCTCTGTATAAGGCCGATAAAACAAAAGGCCGAACAGCAGTGTAAGTACCCATAAATCACCTCTACAAGCAGGCGCAGAAAGCCATCGTGATTGGTTTAAGAATCTTCACTTGTGGAGAGCTCAGTTCACAACTAGTGAGAAATCCTTCCAGGGATCATTTAAAGAGGAGCTAATCAAAGGCGAGGCCTGATAGGCGGTGTAATTTAGTTGATAAAGCAGGCACAGGCTGATATACATGTTCAACTCCTCTCTTCCTGCTCTACTGCACCATATTGAGCAGATATAAAGCGGAGCAGAGCAGAATCTTAATTCCTAGCCACACAACAACAAGGACAGATGGAATTTGCATCCATGACGTTACAAACATAAAAGCATGGTTTGACAATGCATTGATGTATTGGGTTCCATTTGTAATCTTATTTCGTTTGGACACCCTACATTGGTTGTTTGAACGCTGCAGGAACTGAATCATTTTGAAAGGCATAAGATGTCAAGTGAGGTTTTTAGTTAGCTAGCTAATCAAAATGTTCTGGCCCAACTTTCTGTTTCAACAGGAACAGTGCTGTAATAATGAACTAAAAGTATAAAAGTAAAACTATTAAAAGATTTTTATTTTTTACTATTAAATTTTTTTAATTGAAACAAAGCTGAAATAAAAAATAAATATTAGAAGAAATACTCGGGGTGGGGTATTACATGTGAATTTTTTGGACAAAAATCTGGTGTAGGATTTACTTTTTCAACAGTTTTCACTCAGAAATTGCTAGTAAATTTCACAAATAGGCCTAATTACACAGAAACAACACACTGCATTAAACATTTAATATTTAATTTTTAAGAAAGACTGAAATAGTATTTTATTGTAAAACATACAAAAATCACAAAATTACTGAAACTAAAAAATACAAATATTAAAATAATAGTATTCGACTTCAACAGTATATGAATAGCACTAAAATAACACTGAACACAACAAAGAAAACTGTGCTCATCAAGCTATTGGTACATTTCTTGCTTGCACTCAAGGAACAAAAGAACAAGGATCAAAACAGCAACTTTCCAGTTACCAGCCCTGAAATTGAACCACTAAACCACACCACCACAACAGTGGTATCAGCCTTTTTGGTATGGAACCTATAACCTCTGGTTACCAATCCAGATACCTTACTAGCAAGCAACATCTTCCTGCATATTCATAATTCTTCATATTCTTCAGCCGCAATCTATTCTGGCAACTGACTTACTTTAGAGCAGGGTTCCTCAAACCTTTCCCTAGAGGGCCAATGCGCTGAAGAGTTAGCATGCTCAAGTGTGTTTGATAGGGTTAGAACTAAACTCTGCTGGAAAGTGGATCTCGTGGGCCAGATTAAGAGAGACAGAGCTCTAAACAATACCTTTCTCCTTTTATTTTATTTTTTTTTGGAGAGGCAATTCTCTCTTTTGGATGAGAGGAGCAGTGGGTGCGACGATGGCCATTTGCACTCAATGACCTTTGCCCTCACTTTATTCTGTCTCTCAGTCAGTCCCTATGGAGACCCTTCTATAAAATCAGCCCATTTTATTGGGTCCTTGATGCCAGGCCACACTGATGCCTTTTCTTATTACACTCTACTTTAAAACAATTGAAAAATGAGACGGCAGAGAAAGTGTTTTGAAAAAAGAAAGAACTTCTCGCACCAGGCACAGATGGGTCTCACACTATTAGAAGAAATACTCGGGGTGGGGTATTACATGTGAATTTTTTGGACAAAAATCTGGTGTAGGATTTACTTTTTCAACAGTTTTCACTCAGAAATTGCTAGTAAATTTCACAAATAGGCCTAATTACACAGAAACAACACACTGCATTAAACATTTAATATTTAATTTTTAAGAAAGACTGAAATAGTATTTTATTGTAAAACATACAAAAATCACAAAATTACTGAAACTAAAAAATACAAATATTAAAATAATAGTATTCGACTTCAACAGTATATGAATAGCACTAAAATAACACTGAACACAACAAAGAAAACTGTGCTCATCAAGCTATTGGTACATTTCTTGCTTGCACTCAAGGAACAAAAGAACAAGGATCAAAACAGCAACTTTCCAGTTACCAGCCCTGAAATTGAACCACTAAACCACACCACCACAACAGTGGTATCAGCCTTTTTGGTATGGAACCTATAACCTCTGGTTACCAATCCAGATACCTTACTAGCAAGCAACATCTTCCTGCATATTCATAATTCTTCATATTCTTCAGCCGCAATCTATTCTGGCAACTGACTTACTTTAGAGCAGGGTTCCTCAAACCTTTCCCTAGAGGGCCAATGCGCTGAAGAGTTAGCATGCTCAAGTGTGTTTGATAGGGTTAGAACTAAACTCTGCTGGAAAGTGGATCTCGTGGGCCAGATTAAGAGAGACAGAGCTCTAAACAATACCTTTCTCCTTTTATTTTATTTTTTTTTGGAGAGGCAATTCTCTCTTTTGGATGAGAGGAGCAGTGGGTGCGACGATGGCCATTTGCACTCAATGACCTTTGCCCTCACTTTATTCTGTCTCTCAGTCAGTCCCTATGGAGACCCTTCTATAAAATCAGCCCATTTTATTGGGTCCTTGATGCCAGGCCACACTGATGCCTTTTCTTATTACACTCTACTTTAAAACAATTGAAAAATGAGACGGCAGAGAAAGTGTTTTGAAAAAAGAAAGAACTTCTCGCACCAGGCACAGATGGGTCTCACACTGAGCTAAGTTGAAAAATGCTGCCCAATTGATTTTACACAGTTGCACACCAGGAAGCCAAAGATGGTGTTACCTTTCAAAGAAACAATTTGGAACAAAAAATGACTGAACCGTTATTATTATTATCATCCCCCATCTTAGGTATTTGTACCAGATACCAGAGCAGTAGAAATTAAAAGAGACCAGCCGATTAACACGCCTTTCATACAGAACATGCATTGCATTACCATTTGTTCAGAGCTCTCTACAAAATTAAGCATGACATTCAAAAGACTGTCCCGACACTGCATAAACAACATGTTTAATGTAGCATCATACAAGATGCTGGTAAACATTCATTTGGAGGTCTTTACCCTGCACATCTTATACCACCGTGATGCTAGGGCATGGTGCACGAGCCTTGCTATGCATTGTCTAAAGTCAATGACAAATAAAAGTGTCCATGATAACAAAAAGAAAAAAAAAGTTTAAATCACATGTGCCAAGTTCTTACAAATGTACTTTTTGTATTCATGCTGGTTTCAAATGGTACTGAAAGACATTTATACCATTTATACCAAACGTATAAATTTAATCACTGTAAAAATGTCAAGTGGTATAATCATGCATTAAAAAGTAACATATTTTCCTTACACACAGAATAAATGTGATTGTACATAATCATTATTAATTTTTTTTTTTTGGAGTCACACCACATGACATTTTATAATATTAATATAATGTAATATAACATAACATAACATAACATAAAGTTACGTACCATATAATATAATAAAGTAATAGAATTACAATAATTCTCTATGATATAATTTCCTGTTTTATTATTATTTTTTTTTTCCTGCATGTTGGTTGGACCATATAACTATGATTTGATGGACAAAAGTTTTTAAAATATTAATAAGCAGTGAAGCACTTCACTACTTACTTTTTTCTAAGAAATAATAAAAGTTTACACAAAAGTACTTTATAAGGTCGTCTCAATTTCTTTCTTTTAATAAGACCTTTTTTTTCCTTCATCAGGACATTTGTTTCATCTTGACAACATAAATCATAGAAGAGATGTATTGGAGTCATTGTATGCATGAAGTGCATTTATGATGTAATAAACAAAGTTTAATATTTAAGGTAAGGGATTTCTTCAAATCAAGTAATAGTGATGGTTACCTTATCAACAACCATTAAATATGAACAAATCAAGCCCATGCTATGAAGTCAAAACTTGTATCACTAAAAGAACAGATGATCAAGATAAAATGTTGGCTTCTGTGTCTCTAATCTTCACAAACTTCACACACACCAGCATTTATTAAACCGTCAAGACTTCTGATGATATTCACAATGTTGTTTAATCCGTGGATTTGACATACACTCTGATCCACATTACTTGTCGGCGTTAACGGCCTCTTGTCGCGCTCTAAGCTTATCTGCATTGCCCAGCTTGTTCTCCCATAGACTGCGACTGGCACTCGGATGGCCCGTGTCATGAGAGTCTAACATAAATTGAAGGCGTTCTAATGCAATAAAGTGTCGCAGCCATTGTAACACACTGCGAAGTTCCCTGTGGATAATGGCTTGCTGTCACACGAGACGAGACGTAAATGAAAGTCGCCTGTGTCCTGCCAGACTACGCCAAGCCAATAAAGTTTTAAAGGTCAGGACAGACTCGGTCTTGCCACCTAGAGTTATGCCTACTATTAGGCAAAGTGGTGCAATGCTAAATCAGATTTGTACACTGACAGATACACACTGGCACTTACAAACAGCCAGAAGACACACAAACAGACACGAACATACACACACAGGTAAGAGGCGGGAGCGTCGGGGCCTGAAGCAAGTGTTCACTTTGCATTAGTGTAACGTCTGGTACTGTGAATCTCTGGCATTTTCTTAAAGGTCTTCCAGCACAGGGGAGGATCCGTTTAGTGTTTTGAACCTAAAAACATACTAAAACATCTTAGGCAGTTTTCATTTGAAAGTGAGCATCGCCATATTTGACTCTCTCCACAGTGGGCATCTAAAAGGTATTATTGGATATACCAGAAACCCTATAGGAAGCCATACTTCATGGTTACTTTATTTTAATCAGGATATTAATTTTATAACACAGCTTGCAAAGTTCATGCTTAAAGTTAAACTTAAAGGGGTCATATGATGCGATTTCAATTTTTCCTTTCTCTTTGGAGTGTTACAAGCTCTTGGTGCATAAAGAAGATCTGTAAAGTTGCATAGACTAAAGTCTCAAATCCAACGAGATATTCTTTATAAAAGTTAAGACTTGTCCACGCCCTCCTAAAACGTCTCGTTCTAACACGCCCCCACATGTCTACATCACTGTGTGGGAAGATTTGCATAACACCGCCCAAATGTTCACTGCCGCAAGCCCGCCAGACGCTCCTTCGTCGAATCCGCCGGCCGTGCCGTTCTCAAGACCGCCGGCCTTTCCTCACTCTAGCCCGCCAGCCGCCACTCACTCTAGCACGTAGTGTGTGACGCTGCGTGACACATTTTATGGAGGACTGTTTCCTGAACCTACAGAGTAGCCAACAATGGGTCTGTGCTCAAAGGCTGTTCTATAAAGTGGGGCAGTTCCAACTTTGCAAGGACAGTCTGGCGCTTCTGACTCACAGCCTGTAAGTACGTTTTTTATATTTAAA